GTGTATTTGGTAGTTAGCTACGGAGACTTGATCCATTACTTTATCGAAGGCATCTAAGTTAACAACTTTGACTTGAATGCATGAATCAAACATGATAGACAATGTAGCCACACCTCAAAAGTCCAAAGTTTGTCGTTTGGTAGTTTATTGAAGGATTGAACCTTGCTGTAGTGAAAAATATGTCATGTTTGATTATTCTTTTTTTGTTGGACAAGTTTCACAGCGTCTTTTGCATCTCTTAGACTTTCACTTAGACTGGGATGCATTACTGAAAGAGTTACAAGGGCATGGGGTTTTTTGATCGTGAATAAAAAGACATTCTTCGTGCCTGCAATACAGTTTAATTACTAACGCATTTAAGGGGTTCCAATTGTACAAGAGCATTTGGGATGTTTGTAATTTTGATGGTTAGCATGTGCCTTTCCTATTATTAAGACTTGCCTTCCTCTTCACTTTTCCCCCTTGCTGGATATGCTTGTAAACTAGAACTATAGGCCTCTCAACTTTACTCACTGAGATGTTAGGTCCTATATTAGGCTGGCTTTTTAATTCAAGCTGTTTTGTCTCCTTTCTTTAATTAAATATTTTGTGTGCTTCTGTGCTTTCAGCATAAAGCTCCATTCATAGAGGAGCTTGAGGAGCAGATGCAAAAACTTCACGAAGAACGGGCTTCTACAGTCGTGGAAAGAAGAGTAGCTGATAATGATGATGAAATGGTGGAGATAGATGCAGCTGTAAAAGCAGCAATGTCAATCTTGAATAAGAAGGGGAGCAGCAATGAAATGATTGCTGCAGCCACAAGTGCTGCCCAGGCAGCAATTGCCTCCGCAAAGGAACAGGCAAATCTACCAACAAAGGTAGATGAATTTGGTAGGGATTTAAATTTACAAAAACGTATGGATATGAAAAGGAGGGCTGAGGCTCGAAAGCGCCGGAGAGCAAAGTACGATTCCAAGAGACTTGCATCCACAGAAGTTGATGGCCATCAAAAAGTAGAAGGAGAGTCTAGCACTGATGAGAGTGATAGTGAGGCTGCAGCTTACCAGTCAAACCATGATTTATTACTTCAGACTGCTGATCAAATTTTTAGTGATGCAGCTGAGGAGTTCTCCCAACTTTCTGTGGTGAAACAGAGGTTTGAACAATGGAAGAGAGATTATTCAGCAACTTACCGTGACGCATATATGTCATTAAGCACTGCTGCTATCTTCTCTCCTTATGTGAGATTGGAACTCTTGAAGTGGGACCCCCTGCATGAAAATGCAGATTTTTTTGACATGAACTGGTATGATATTATTAAGTATTACAGTCCTAATTATATACATAGCATATATACTTTAGTCAATATGAAAAATAATCATGAATGGTAGAGGAATTTTTCCAATCAGCTGGTTGTGGTACTTTCTTAGTGAAGTTAAACTCATTCATACATAATTTAAATTGCTCGTTTACCCATCCTTATTTTGAATTTTCAGGCACTCTTTGCTGTTCAATTATGGTATGCCGGAAGATGGTAGTGATTTTGCTCCAAATGATGCTGATGCTAACCTTGTCCCAGAACTAGTTGAGAAGGTTGCACTTCCAATATTGCACCATGAAATTGCTCATTGTTGGGACATGCTTAGCACACGTGAAACCCGAAATGCAGCTTTTGCTACTAGCTTGATTACTAACTATGTTCCAACATCAAGTGAAGCTCTTATGGAATTATTGGTTGTTATTCGTACTCGTTTGTCAAGTGCTGTTGAAGATCTTACGGTATGAATTCGGTTTTGCACTTTTCAATAATATGGTTGTCTTTATATTATATTATCAGGGAAACCAACATTTCTGCGTGAATTGAATGCATATATCCTCAACTTCACTGTACCATAAGCCATTATGCGTTCATGTTTAATTCTCAATGGATTATTTCATCTAATCTGCTGATGTTGGATCATGTTTACAAAACAATAGGTTCCGACTTGGAGTGCACTGGTGATGAAAGCTGTTCCAAATGCTGCTCGAATTGCAGCATATCGGTTTGGCATATCGGTTCGTTTGATGAGAAACATATGTTTGTGGAAAGAAATCATTGCATTGCCCATTTTAGAAAAGCTTGCCCTTGAAGAGCTCTTGTATGGGAAAGTTCTACCTCATGTTAGAAGCATCACAGCGAACATACATGATGCAGTCACAAGAACCGAGAGAATCATTGCTTCTCTTTTAGGAGTGTGGACAGGCCCCGGCGTCACCGGTGATCGCAGGTTTGGATATTTTATTCACTTCTTTGTTTGGACTTGTAATTTGGCTTGCTAAATAATATCAGTGAAGGGAATAAGCACGTGAATGATGCTTATAAGCGTTTAAGTTGCATTCCTTTTGATTATGAATATATCTCTCTGTTTCACACAAAAATAATACCCATAAACTTTTATGATTCCAAATTTTTGTTTTGCAGTCACAAGTTGCAACCATTGGTAGACTATGTTATGCTACTGGGAAGAACATTGGAGAAAAAACATATTTCAGGCGTAGCTGAGAGCGAGACGAGCGGACTAGCTCGGCGATTAAAGAAGATGCTAGTTGAGCTGAATGAATATGACAATGCAAGAGACATTGCTAAGACCTTCCATCTCAGGGAGGCACTATGAGCTCGACGAGCGTCTGGTGTGATCACAAGATAGGACGATGTACCTTGTGTATATGCTTTTATGGAACATTGATGAAGTTTATTGTCTCAAAGATGATCCTGATTCTTACTGAATTGACATCATTGTTCTAGAGAATGCGGCATTAGAGTCTGAAAAGAGCTAACTGCAGAGCTGTGACCCATTAGCATTTGATGAATTTATTTGGTACGATCGTTATGGCCATTTCTGATAGCTCCCTCCATTTGGTCTTGTGTCATTGATATGCAACCTTCATTCTTAGAGCCTGCTACTAAACACAAGTTGGGTCAGCCCATTTCTTTGAACTTTCAATTTTTTAGCATCGATGACACTTTTTAACATATTCAAAACTTCTATAAAAAATAATAGTATCATTGGAATTGAGAAAGAATTTTATGGTTTATCTCATGCTCAATCAAGGTATGATCGATCACTCACTTCGTTCCTGGTCATTACTTGATTTTTTTTTTTTTTTTTGAAGAAAAGGTCGAGTCTGGTTTACTGCTAGCAAATACGGTTCGTTTTTGCTTGTTATGTATCATCATCAGCCTCAGTTTTAAAACACGTTTATTAGAGAAAGGTTTCCACAATCTTTTAAGGAAACACTTCAACCAATGTGGGATTTTGCAACCCACTCCTCTTGGGGGCTAGCGTCCTCGTTGACACATTGTCGTCAGCCTCACTTATAAAGAATGATTCGTTCGATTCGTTCCTCTCCACGATCAATGTGGGATCTCACACTTGCAACATGCATTGGTAGAATGTGGTCAACTTGGGATCTCATACTTGCAACATACATACATGGGTAGAATCTAAATTATTACCCTTAAAATATGTAATATTATCCTTTAAATATGTAATTTTTGTGGTCAAAGTGGACAATTAACTCATTTTTATTGGGTTTTATCAATTCTCTCAGGCATAAGTTGAAATCCTAAGAGATTTTATCCCAATCGATGGGCATTGAGTATTAATATAGTTAATGGAGACGAGCCTCACTCGACTTAGCTCTCATGATCATAAAATTAAATGAGTAATCATCACAATTATTTTTCTCATGAGAGCGTGTCATTCACGAATATTCTTGATATGATCTCCCATAATTAATTTCCCAAGTATATAACAAATTCATGCACAAATATCATGATCATCACATAATCGAACAGTTAGCTAATTGATTCTTGACGAATTATCATTCTTGAAGTGAAATGAATTCAATCCAAAATATCCATCGAAACAATGGTTCATATCCATTTAGATAATATCATAGAGAAACAAAGTCAAGATAAACGACATCTTGATTAACCAGAAATCTCTTCTATTTGCTTACAAATCTTCATTACTTTGAACACATCATGAACATTTATTTTAATCAGACAATTAATGCATAAAAGGTCAACACGCTTCAGATGATGATGCTAATGTTGGCAACCAAGACAACGTTGTTGAATTATAATGTTTGATTTAAGGAAATTAATCATCACATTTTACACTCAGTTCATAAAACCCTAAAGAACCCCATTTACATGCAAACTTAAAGCTAAGTTATCTATATATTAGTTTATATTATGATTTGGATTTTGACCCGTCAACTTTAAAAATGGTGTCGGTTTAGCCTCCACACACTTCAACATGTAACGATTTTACGAATACACATTTAAGTTTTAGTAACACGTCACCAAAGTTAATGGATTGTTGAACTAAAAAAACCGTTAAACTTGCCCAAACTTATCACATGATCTTAAATAATATAGGCAATCTGTCATTAAAGTCTTAAACGTATATGAAGTTTACGATAGTAACTTATTAAACACAAAATTTTAAAAGTCTTAATCGCATAAAGACACTACAAGCATAACGTCTTGGGCACGGACCAATATGAGTTCTTTCAGCATGCTTTATTCCCGCTCACAATTTTTCAAGAGTCACCTAACATAAGCTCGCTCCGAGTAAAACACGTTTGATTTTGTAGTTTCTATGACTGAATCATCGAAAAGAAAAGTACACTTTGTGGTATATGTAGTAACTTTCGATTCTTTTAAGCATTGCTTAGTTATTCTATCCTTAAGATCACTCTCATTCAAATATAGTATCGATTCATTCATATACTCCTCATTTACTCGAGAATCACAACAAATATGTTATAAGTTCAGAGATTTAACTAAAACATTTATAAGTACAATGATTAAAAATACGTCATTCTAACAAACGAAACTTATAATTTAACTTATGGTAATCAATTTATGTAAAAACAACATGATATTGCATAAAGAAACAAAAAGAGAAACAAAACATCAACAAAATTCCTCTCAAATCCAAAAATATTGAAACAAAATCTGAAAAAAGAAGGGAAGAAGATGATTTCAAGGCAAATCCCAAGATGGGTCAAAGACAAAATAATACATAAAATCAAGACAGATCTTCATATCCAAAAAAAAAAATCAGTTCTTTTTGTTGCATCACTTTGCAATATCAAAGGGGACACAACTGCACCACATGCATGCCTCATTAGGGCTTTTCTTTACCTTCACTGCAACCCTGGGAAAAGCCCCTCTTACCCAAATCATAAAAAACAAAACTTCAATACTTTTCTCACATCATCGTCTGTCCTCCGTTTTGGCCAGTTACGTATCGCTATCAACTCTAGGAAAAGCCACTCTTACACAAAAGATCACTTTTCTTTCGAACAACGAAAAAGATTCCTCTAAAATGGTGGAAAATTTCAGTGATATGTAAATTTTCAGTTCATTAAAAAAAAAAAAAAAAAAACATGAAGAAACCTTAAAGGATATTGATGTTATTTGTTCTTTGTCGTTTAATGTTTCCTGACGAAGAATCATCCGGTCCTGTTTTTTCCATCACAGCCTTCAATGCTTCTTGAATTGAGCTGATACTATGTTGTTGTTGTTGGCTGTCTGAATTGGGATTATTATTATTATTATTATTGTTGTTATTATTATGGTCAGTTGATGGCTCGTCGTCTTCACCAGTGACAAACAGCACATTTCTCACGCGCCCACCAAGGGTTGTGATTTCAGCTTTGAGGGTTCTTAAGCGCAAGGATTTCAGTGTTTTGATGAGGTCAGGGAGGAGATCTGAACGGTCCTCACAGCAAAGAGAAGCTTTTATTACAAATTTGGCGCCGTTGATCATCATCTCGTCTGAGGCATCGTCCACTGTTAGCTCGTCGATGTCTGTTGGGATTGAACTTGTTTCTGCTATCAATGATGTTTGCCGTTTTAGCTCTTTCACGTGTTGTATTACTTCTGCTAGTAGTGAAGCTTTGTCTGTCTGTTTAATGTCACCAAAAGTATAAAGGGTTTTGTTATTGTTGGTCTATGCTTCAAAAGAACACTGAAAAACTAAAGACATTGTTCTAATGCTCTTCCTTAATCTAAGTAAAATCGTAGATAACATCATGTAATAAGTCTACTGCTTGCAATATTGTCTGCTTTGGTTTGTTAGTATTGCCATCAGCCTCACTGTTTTAAAACGCGTGTATTAGGGAGAGGTTTTCACACTCTTATAAGGAATGTTTTGTTTCCCTCTCTAACCGACGTGGAATCTCACAATCCACCCCCTTGGGACTCAGCGTTCTAGCTGGCACACAGTTTAATGCTTGGTTTTGTTGTCACAACCCAAGCCTACCACTAACAAATATTGTCTGTTTTGGCCTATTACATATCGCCGTTAGTCTCATGGCTTTAAAACGCGTCTATCAGGGAGAAGTTTCCACACTTTTATAAGAAATGTTTTGTTCCCTTTTCCAACTGATGTGAGATCTCACAATTCAACACATGCAAAGAAATTTATCGACATAAAAATTTTAAAGCAGACTTAAGATTAGGAACCAACAGTAGATAATGGATCGATTTCCTAAAAGTTGGGTAAATTTAAGCCAAAAAGCTTGATATTTTGAAACCCCAACTAGGTTTTGTGATACTTTCATAACCCACTTCGAATGGAGAGTAGAACAAAATTTTTCTTATAAGGGTTTGAAAATATCTCTCTAGCATACGCATTTTAAAAACTTTGAGTGAAAACTCAAAAGGAGAAGTCCAAATAAGACAATATCGGCTAGCTGTGGGCTTAGGTGGTTATAGATACTGAGTGAGTGAGTTAGCTAGTGGGGTGTTGTGTTTTGGGTTTAAGGTATTGATAATATGAGATCCCACGTCAGTTAGGGAGGAGAATGAAACATTCTTTATAAAGGTGTGGAGATCTCTCACTAGCAGACGTGTTTTAAAAACCTTACTGGAAAGTTTAAAAAAGACAATATCCGTTAGTGATGGGCTTAGACGGTTGAGAGAGAGAGAGTCAGCTAGTGGGAGTGTTGTGTTTTGAGTTTAGGGTCATTGGTAGTGGGGCTAAGCTCAGAAGTGGGGAGGGAAAGGGCATAAGAATAATAGATAAGGGCCTCTCTAAGGGTAACTGACAAGGATACTGAATTTGTCTCTCTTTATTTCTTTTCATTCTCTAACATATTTTTGACTGACATCCGGCAACAAATTTCCCAACCGAAACCCTTTTCCAACTGCAACTTTGGTTCCTCTTTATGATATCAATCCAGCGACATTACCGGTTAAGTTCTCTTTTCTTCTTCCTCATTCCCACAACAATAAACAAACACGACACAACAAACCCTTTTTTGAACAAACGAGGAAACATCATGGGATGTTAAAAATGTAAGAAATTTGTTGTTCTATATGTTAAAAATTGCAACTTTGATCCAAAAAAGCAATGCAAGAAATGGAAATAAACTTAAACAAACCAAAGGGTATGTGAAAATCAGTATAGGGATTCATAAAAATGCTTACTTTAGTGGTACTAGGAAGTAAGCTCCGGAGCTTAGCAAGATGATTATTGATTCTCTCTCTTCTTCTTCTCTCCGCTTCACTATGGCTTTTAGAAGCTGCAAGAGCTTTGGCATCCATTATTTCTTGAGCACTCATTTTGCCAAGCTCAGCTTGAAGTCCAAAGGGAGCAGTTGAGCCATGATGAACCACTGGTCCAAGCGTGGTTGATATGATTCGACCCAAGTGGTCCGCTGAGGAAGTTCCATCATAAGCAAATTGAAGACAATTAGCCGGTCTCCGGTTAAAAAGATTACCATACGACGACGACGAACATAACGATGTTGGTGGTGGAGGCGGAGGCGGAGGAGGAATGAGAAATGGGTTGAGCGGAGGCCACGAGTTTAGAACCGGCGACACGACGTCGCCCGGGAAAATCAACCCTCTTCCAGCTCCATGATGGTGATGATCTCCATAGATAATATGATCGGTGTTGTTGTTTTGTAGTTGGTGAAGAAGAAGCTGTTCTTGAAACATATTCTCAATTGTTTGTGAACACTCCCCTTGATGTTGATGATGATCCTGTTCTTGATCCTCCCCACGCATATCACTCACAAAATAAAGACAAAATGAAGTGAAAAGGGCAAACCTTTATGATAAAATTGGATCAAAGTTATGAATTTGACCATTAATTCATTGCCTTCAACATAAGCTTTAGTTTGAGCTTCAATATATAGAGCTGTTTCTCCCTCTGGCTTTGCTTTGCTTTACTTTCTTCTTACGCCATTATTCTTTGTCCATCCCCTATGCCTTTTTCTAGGCAGTGAAATGAGCTGAGAGATCTTTTGTGTTATAATTATTAAAATTAGCTCACATTATTATATGCATATGACAGAGAAAAACCCCATTTAGTATATGTTTTTATATATTATCGCTTTATGTTTTGTTTATATATAATGGGAAGACACGACCACATAAAAAGAGAGTGAACATATAAAAACATTGCTTTGTCGTCCAAACAAGGACCAAAAAGGGCTGAGGAGATCATTGTTCTAAAAAGCTTGCCTTTGGCTAAAACCCTTTTCTTTCAAATTTGTTTTTACACTTCCAAAATGTTCATTTTTACCCTATGCACTTTTACGTTGTTGGGTTAAAAATAATAGTTTGAATACGAGCAATGGTCAAGATTGAGATTAGTATCTTAGTAAAATGAACCAAGGCTATAAGTTTGTAACAGCTCAAGCCCAGTGATGCTATCAGATATTATTTTCTTTGGGTTTTCCCTTTTGGACTTCCCATCAAGGTTTTTAAAACGCGTTTGCTAGGGAGAGATTTTCACACTTTTATGAGGAATGCTCCGTTCTCCTCTCCAACCGATGTGGGAGAGGTTTTATGCATGATTTTAATAAAAATTTAGAATCCTTGTGAAATCTAACGTTAGTTAGAGAAGGGAACGAAACAATTTTGGTGTAAAAATCTCTCTTTAAGAAACATGTTTTTAAAACAGTGAGACTGATGACGATACGTAACGAGCTAAATCAGACAATATCTACTAGCGGTGAGCTTGAACTGTTATAAGTTAGTCAAGACTCAAATGAACGAGTTCTTGACATCTGTTATTGTTCAAGCCCCCAAATTGTTGTTCCATACTCTTAGCCATGTCCACGCCAACCCTTTCTACTACCTTTAAGAACATGTAATCATTGTGTCTTGGAACACACTCCATATCCTTCTCTCTCTTCTATATCTCATTCAAACACAAAAGTTTCTTGGGTTCAGCCATATTTGTGCATTAATCATGTGAGTTTATCTTGATTCTTGATGGGTCTTAACTTTTATGTCAAAATTAATGGCTTTTTGAAGTCATCAAGTACGAACCCTTCTTCATTAAGGGTCATAGGAAACAGAAAAACCCTTGTTTAGCTCTTACTTTATGTTGGATTCAGTCAGGGAGTGGCTTTGAATCAAAGTTTGAATGTTGTGGGAACATTTTCTTAGCGAAAAATTTAAGCTTTTGAGAGAATATGTAATTATGATATCAATTCAGTGTTAGGACAACAAAACTTCTATGTTTTCACCCACATGTAATACTGTTTATTATAGGTTATGAATTCCATTTTTATGTTATTATGTACCATGCCATTTGTTTGTTTGTAGAATCATTTTCAAACCATGGGGTAACTAAAAGAAATTATGGAACGAGATCGTTACGTTGCATGATTCAGTGGATATACGACACTAATTACCCGCCAATGATTTGATTCCTATCCGGTAACTGTTGAACTAGAAAGAAAGGAAATAAATTATTACTGTAACAGCTCAAGCCCACCGCTAGCAAATATTGTCATTTTTGGACTTTTCCTTCTTAGATTCCTCTCGAGGTTTTAAAATGCGTATGCTAGAAAGAGGATTCCTGTGAGATCCCACATTGGTTGGAGAGGAGAACGAAACATTCTTTATAAGGATGTGGAAGTCTCTCCCTAGTAGACACGTTTTAAAACCGTGAGGCTGACAGCGATACGTAACGGGCCAAAGTGGACAATATCTACTAGCGGTGGGCTTTAGCTGTTACAAATGGTATCAAAGCCAGACACCGGGCAGTGTGCCAGCAAGGACGCTGGCCCCAAGGGGGGATGGATTGTGAGATCGCACATTGGTTGAAGAGAGAAACAATGCATTCCTTATAAGGGTATGGAAACCTCTCCCTAGTAGACACGCTTTAAAACCATGAGGTTGACGGTGATATGTAACGGGCCAAAGTGGACAACATCTATTAACGATGAGCTTGAGCTATTACAAATGGTATCAAAGCTAGACACCGGGCGGTGTGCCAGCGAGAACATTGGCCCCTAAGGGAGTGGATTGACATTGGTTGAAGAGGGGAACAAAACATTCCTTACAAGAGTGTGGAAACCTCTCCCTAGTAGACGTGTTTAAAACCGTGAAACTGACGGCAATACATAATAGGTCAAAACAGACAATATCTATCAACGGTGGGCCCCTCTCCACCCGAATCTCACAATTACAAACTTATCATGAATTAATAAAGATAATCAAGATTAAGATTGTAACACTAATCAAGTCATTACGTTCTAATCGGATGAAATCAAAAGTTTAAAGATAAAAATTGGATCTTTTTCATAAACTTTTGTAGGTAAGATTTGGTGGGTTGATAAGATAATATGACCCAAAAAGTCCCAAAACTCAAAAGAGGAGAGAATAGGGGAATAATAGATGTTCTCAGTCACTTTATTGAAACAATGCACGGTTCTCCAAGAAAGGCTTCCCTTCACAAATGGACTGTATAAAACCACTATTAGCCGAATGCTACCACACAAAGACATGAAAAAACCTCTAGCTTAGCTGCACCCTGCAACGCCTACCCCTTTGCCTTTTGTTACTTGGTTCCCTATATTTCCCATTTTTACCTTCCAATTCTTTGTCTCTGCAATCCTTGCGCCAAAAACAAGACACACAACAAAAAAGAAACCCAAAAGAAATCAAAAGAATTAGAAGAAGAAAGGCGTGAAGGGTCTTGGCCGGCAACTTCTGGTAATCACACAGTTACGTTAGCAGAGCATGGCTATCCAAAAGCCAACCATAAATCATTAATACCCTTTTTCCCTTTTCAACAACATTATTGTTCATATATCTTTATATTTACAAACATAAAAACCCTGTTTTTGTCTTAATTAAGCATTGTCCGATCCAATCAAAAGTAGTATTAAAGTACAAACACTTTGATTTCTGCCCTCTTCACTTTAGCACGATTGTCCATTTGTCTTCTTAACTTGTAGCTTTTGCAAATTCTTTTTTGTTTTTGTCTTTGAGTTTGAAAGGCTCTAGAGCATGGGTGCTTTTGCATGGTTATCTGTGAAAAATTCTCTTTTTACCTTGTTTATATGAATTGGGTTGTTTGTGAGTTTATCAATCATGCCCTTTTGAAGATGTTCAAAGTTGTGGACTTTTCTTTTCAGCTCAAAGAGTATAAATTATTGATTTGGTGGGTATTAAGATTAGGGTTTTTGTTTGATCTTTGTTAGTTTAGTTAGGGTTTTGGATGGTTTAAAAGAACAATTCAAAGAGAAACGGGTCATTTACGTAATGAATTCGGAGTAGTCAATATTGGTTGGGCGTCTCTATAGAGATGGAGACGTCAATATTGATTGCCCACGATGTGATTTTCGTATGTGGGCGAGCTTCATGAGATAGACAATGTGGTCGAAGAAGTTGACATGCATTGTAAAGAAAATTGTGAGATCCCACATTGATTGGAGAGGGGAAACGAGTGCCAATGAGGACGTTGAGTTCTGAAGGGGGTGGATTGTGAGATCCTACAGAGGAACAAAACATTTTTTATAAGAGTGTGGAAACCTCTTACTACCATACGCATTTTAAAACCTTGAGGGAAATCCAAAGAGGACAACATCGGTAAGTGAGCTTAAACTGTTACAAAAATACACAGACAAATGACTATTTGAAGAGAAACGAGACTCACCCAAAAAAGGTGAGATCCCACATCACTTGGAGAGGAGAATGAAACATTCTTTATAAGGGTGTGGAGACCTCTCCCTAGCATATACGCTTTAAAAACCTCGAGAGAAAGTTCGAAAGGAAAAGTCCAAAGAGGACAATATCTGCTAGCTGTGGGTTAAGGCTGTTACAAAGGATATTAGACCCCGACACTGGACAATGTGTTAGTGAGGACACTAAGCCCCGAAGGGAGGTGGACACCGGACAGTGTGCCAGCAAAGACACTAAGCCTTGAAGGATAGAGAAGACGATATATTCTATGAATATATAATCATGTGGGTCAGCTAGATTTGAAGGGGTGATGGTAAAGATATGGAGAGAAGGAGTACTTTACCACTTGAAAAAAAGATTTCATTGAAAACCCATCAAATCCAACCTTATAAAGAGTTCACTCAACATTTCATGTGAAACCCAATGTGATATATAAAACTAAAGCCAAGCCAAGCCAACGCTGGTGCCAAGAACAAAAAAGAAATGGCATTGTATCTTAGCCAAATCTTTAGAGCACATGTATTAACGCCCATGTTAATCATTCATCCTTGTGTTGTGGGAGTCCCCTTTTTGTGTAAAATTTCATATGTAGTCACATTCAAAGACTTGATGATAGCTTCACCTCCACTACCCTCCACAACCCACAACAGATAAAGGGGCCATTTTGGTGGGTTTTATAATGACATCAATCCCACCCTGTCATGACGTTGCCTCCTTTCAACCAATCTATACTTATATCTTCACCTTTTTGCCCTTTTTTCTCCTATCATCACGAATTTTTTCCTTTGCACCGATAGGTTTCATTTATAATGACTCGAAGCCCACCGCTAGCATATATTGTCCTCTTTAAGCTTTTCTTTGAGGGGTGAGTTACATGCAGAATCGGTACTCATCCCAGATATTGTCTTCTTTGGACGTTTCCTTCCAGACTTTCCCTCAAGGCTTTATAAAGGGTATTTTGTTCTTCTTCCCAACTAATACCAACGTGGGATTTCACATCATTTCTCTGAAACTCTGATGATCAAAACCCTCAAACTTTTGCTCTTTTCTTTTTGCTTTCTTTCCATTTAGGTGGGAAAATCTCTTTCTTAACTGTTATTATTAATCTCCACTGCTTTCTTGGATGCTCATGTTGGATGAAGATCAGACAGTGTAATGATGTGTTCTTTGGATAAAGTTTACAAAATCCTTTGTGTTTGTGTTTGTGTTTGTGAAATTTTGTTTAGGGTTTGTATTTTATGATGTTTTGTTATGTGTTTTCATGA